CTCCATCATCCAGAAAAATGTCTCGTACATCATTAATAACATCTTCAGTCACAGATCTATACAATTTAGGTACGGTGTTTGTGTTTGCCGAGTTCGCCATTTCCACACACAACACAAACAAGAGGGAACGAGATATAAAGAAAAAAAAAAAAAGAAAAAGAAAAAAAAACTGAGACCCGGAGGGTGACCCAAGTCACCCGCAAGAGAGGGGCAAAAATTTCTCAACAAAACCGATCCAGAAGGAGTAAGAGGCGGGAGACCAGGAGAAGGGGGGCACTCCTCCCGCAGCTAAAAACCTCGAGAATCGCCTAAAGGAAAAAAATGAAAAAAAAAAAATAAGCCACGACCCCTTAGGGGGTTAGGGGGCGTCACCCGCTCCCCACTCGGCGCCGAGGAGGGAAACCAACACCGGTCACCGCTCCCCGCGCCACCGCTGCCGCCACCGGCTGCAGCTCCAGCCGTCCGGTCCGCCTGCTTCTCCCCTTTATATAGCGAGCCAACAAGCTGCGCGAGCTGCCGCCGTCGCTGCCGCCGAGAAACAGGGCGGAGGGAGGGAGGGGCGGAAAGGGCGGGGGCAGCGGGGGGCGGGGCCGAGAGCAAGACACCGCGAGAACCGCGTGCGCACGCGCGCCGGGGCGTCGCCAGTCCCTGGATGAGGCTGGGTGGGCGGGGCCGCGGGCCTGGAGTAAAAGAAGGCGCGCCGCCGCCTTTTTTCCCCCAAGTCTCGCGTGATCACGTGGTCGGCGCCCTGGCGGAAGCGTTCTGCGGTAGTGATCCCGGCGCGTTGGCGGGTTGGCCAGGACTTGTCACTGGAGGAGGCTGGTTTATTTAGGGAACCCAGAGTTGAAAGGTACCTAGCACTGCGTCGGATGGACGCGCAGCCGCTCCGGTGGAGCGGAGAAGAAGAGTAACCGTGGAGACTCCGGGCTCTCCCGAGGATGGCTGCGGAGGGACGGCACGTCACGTGGTGCGGCTTCCGGCTCCCGCGCGCGCTGGGGCTTTGGGACAGTTTTAAATGCGGAGTCATCTTTTGATTCGTGAGCTTAGATCGGACGGGAGGCTAGTTCGCGCGTCTTGCAAAGAATAGACTTTGTGAAGTTGTGTGCACGTCTAAAGGAGAGGAAAGCCTGTAGGTGTTTTCAGCTGTTTGTCTCTACAGAATTAAACTGTAACGTGGTTTGGCTAAAATACCCCAAAGATTCAGCCTCTACCAACTCAGATAATTTAAATGACTTCTTAGAGAGGTAGAAATGACAAAAAAGAAAATGAACTCGGATACAACTACTAGCTTGTGAACTCCCTGACATAAAATTGCTGCTTTTGTTTTTTTTAGTATTACCCAAGTGCTGTGATTTGCACTCTGGCCAGCACACAGTGACTAACCACATCAGAAACCCATGCCCTTGACTCACCAACTTGCTTGGCCTGTCACAAGAAATCAGAGTTTGTCGGCATCTTGGTGTGCAATTCATTGGGAGTTTGACCTGTGACGTCCAAACAAATCTAGTCTTTGTGTCAACATTTCACGGAACAGACTCCTGTTTAACACTGCCACTTTTCCTGGTCCAAGGAATTTGGGGACAAATAAAATGTAATGTGGATGTGTTAATTTTATATTCAAAAAGCAATCAAACAATGTCATTCTATGCCTGTGAAGCCAAATGTATAGATGATCAAAGACTAGTAGAGCAAGAAGAGACTACAGCCTTGTCTTCTATGGCCTAGGGAAAGGGATTAGAGAAGACGGGCTGCCATGCATACTGAGAAGCTAGACATAATACTGTCTCTTGGGAGATTTTTTTTTTTTTTCAGTTCAGGGTTTTTCTATATCCTTGGCTTTCCTGTATCTCAGAGATCTGCCTGCCTCTGCTTTCCCAGTGCTGTTGGTATCAAGCTCCTAACCTAGTGACAACACATCTAGGTGACCCCCACATCGTTTCCAAGGCAATTGCCATACACTCCCAGGATCCACCTGGCTACCTCACCTCACCTTCACTGGGAGAGGCTATGTCACCGCCCATATAAAACAGGCAGAACCCCCTGACCTCGCTCTCTTCCTCCATCTTCTTCTATTCTCTCCCCCCACCTTTGCTCTATCTCCTGAATAACGCCCCCCCACCCCCACCCCGCCTTGGAACTGTTTGGTCTGGTGTGATCTGTTCTAAGCTGCACACAGACATCTAACAAGTGCTGGGATTAAAGGCACGCCAACCATACTTGACTCTAGGACTTCTTCAACATTAGCTCCATTCTCTTCTTTACCTTTTTTTTTTCTTTTCTCTTTTTTGTTTGTTTGAGACAGGGTCCGCAAGGTTCAGGAGTGCATAGTAACCCTGTTGACCTAGCTGGCCTTGAACTCACAGATACCCACTTCTCTGTCCTCTGAGTGTTGGGATGTGCCACACTACATCTGAGCCACTAAATAGTGGCTCAGCAGTTCCCTACACAGATATGTCTGGTCTGGAGCACTAGAAAAATAATTCACAGGGCATAAGTATTTGAAATTGTAATCAAATCGACATTTTTAACGTTTTTTAATATTTAGGTTACAATTGTGAAAAAATGAGGAGGCTCATTCCCAGTGGGTCTCACTCTGCTATTTTAAGACTGCACATACATACTGGGAACATTTTGCTCCTAGTTTTTTTCTCCCACTTGACATTCCTAACTAAATGATCAGGTAGGTGTTTTGCCATCAGTTGAGGTTAAGACCACTGAAGAGGATCCTTGGAAGAGGATCTGGAAACTTCCTTCTCTACAGACTTAATCTTCAGAAGGAATTGATTAGATCTATGTTGTTAGGTCTGATTTGTGAAATGAATGTTAATTGGATTTTTTTTTAAATGATTCCTTGATGCACTTAAGAGATGACTCAGCACTTAAAAGTGCTTGCGGCTCTTCCTGAGGACATCACATCAGGAGACCCAACCAGCACGACCCCAGCTCCGGAAGTACCTTCACACACGTGTGCAGTGATGCACATGTATATACAAAAGTGAAAGTAAACTTTTAGAAAAACAATATGATCAGGCTGCTGGAGGCTCTTTCCATGTCTGTGCAGTCTAGATTGCAACACAGAATGTTTTTCCCCAGGGCTCTTCTCTCCAGTACCCACGTGCCTCTAAGAAACCACCATGGATTCCATTACAGTGTATTGTTCATACGTCTTCAGTTAGCTATAGTACTTCAGTCACAGTGAATGTGTGTCAACCAGCTTCAGATGTTTTCGGATTTTATATCAAAATTCTGGAACTTAATGTTTAACTTCCAAGACAAGACTGTCTGGAAAGCATTCATGCAAAACTGCATTATATTAGTTATTTTTAACAGACCCTTCTTCTAATGCTTGAATGACTTCTAATTTTAATAGCTCTTTGTATGAAACATACTGGATTTCCAATTTTGAGCTTATATTTTTAATGTATGTGGACACATACATGCCTTTTTTTTAATACATATCTTTCTGTAACTTCTAAGTCTTTTTTTTTTTTTTTTAGGTTTTTCGAGACAGGGTTTCTCTATGTAGTCCTGGCTGTCCTGGAACTCACTCTGTAGACCAGGCTGACCTCGAACTCAGAAATCCGCCTGTCTCTGCCTCCCAAGTGCTGGGATTAAAGCCGTGCACCACCACTGCCCGGCTAACTTCTAAGTCTTTTATATAAATCAATAAAAATATCTGTATAAGCCATGGATGGTAGACACACTTTTGATCTCAGGCAGAGGCAAGAGGATCTCTGTGAGTTCTAGGACAGCCAGGAGTACATAGAGAGACCCTGTCTCAAACAGAAAAACAACAACAAAACCTAAATATTTTGAAGAACCAGGACCTCCATGATGATGCCCAAATCGTTAAAATGATCCTTACCTAGTCTACAGATTGAAATGCTAATGTCTTGCCAACATGGGAGAGAAGAAATTTATATATATATATATGAAAATACAGAGCAGAAACAAAACTCTCTAGTATTGAGTCTTAAGAATCATGATGAGCTGGGTGAAATCAACCTAGCAGCAACAAGTACACATAGTACCTAGGTTGTGTGTGTTATTTCAGGACCAGTGCTTTTGAGAAGTTTCTGTTTTCTAATTCTAAGCCACAAGCAGGGAAAGCCTTCCTTAAAACAAGAACAAAACCTCAATTTTTTATTTTATAAAATATGTGTCTCGAAGAGCTTCAGAACTGACCAATCCAGTAACTTCGAGTAACACTTGTTTCTGGATTAGGATCTTGAACTCTTTTTCACTAAGGAATCAAGGTTCCTTGGAGATAGTAGCTATTTCAGGCTCCCAGATCTTAGCACAACTGACTCTATGATGAAAGTTCCATTGAGACCACAAAACTCGGCTCATAGCAGCACCACCAGCCAAAACAAAGACCTAATCCTTCAAAGTCCATAGAAAAATCTCTAAAGTACTAACCTTGTTTCTTTTTGTTTGGTTTTGTTTTTTTGGTATTGGTTTGGTTTTTTGGCTTCTGTAGTTCCACTTTTAGCCAACTGTTCTTGTTCATTGAAGTATGACAAACAGATACGGTTTTTGGGCTTAAAAGCTCACCCTGAAAAAGGCTCCGGACTACACCAGAATCCCAAGCACTCACTGTACTTGCCAGTTGGTTATTAAAGACTTTATTGGCTTAAACCTGTTTCTGAGTAGTCTACTCTGGTGGATACCCTACAACAACTCCATACATGGTACAAGAAAAATATTTCTTTAGGGATCCAGCATGTAACTCAGTGCACTACTCAGTAGATTACAGAGTACACATGAAGCTCTGGGTTCTATCCCCAGGACTGCCTAAAACTGGTCATAGTGCTGTAAACCTATAATTTCAGCAACTGAGGCAGTAGCAAAAGAGGAAAAGCTCAACATTAGCCATAAGTTCATATCCAGCCCAAGTTACATGAAATTTTGTCTCAAAAAACAAACAAAAACTCCAAATAAAATTCTCAAGTATGACTCATCCAAACCAAATGTGGAATATCTTTTCCTACAGATAACCAAAGAGAAGAATTTGAATCCTATTTTGTTGTTGTTGTTTTTTTTGTTTTGTTTTCCGAGACAGGGTTTCTCTGTGTAGCCCTGGTTGTTCTGGAACTCACTCTTTAGACCAGGCTGGCCTCTGACTCAGAAATCTGCCTGTCTTTGCCTCCCAAGTGCTGGGATTAAAGGCATGTGACACCACTGTCCAGCTTATATTTGTATTCTAAAAAATGTGCCACCACTGCCTGGCTTGAATCCTATTTTAACAAAGTACCACTCATTAAATAGTTTTAAATAAGTATTTTTTCATGGCTCTGGAATCTAGCATTTCAACTATGGAAGCAGGTCCATATAGTCACAGACAGTGGATAGAATCCTGTAACGGTTAACTGCCTTGTGTTAGTTTGCCTATGCTAATGAACGTCCAGATAAGTAAAAAAATATTATTTATGAATGTGTCTGTAAAGGTATATTGTGGTTTGGATATGCACTGATTGGCTGCTTGGCTTTAGTAAGTGATTGGATTCTTGAGACTCTGATGTAATGAACAGATTATTCTCTTAATAAAGTAAAAATATGGTGGCATTGTATTATTGGGGGTTGATGGAAAGTAGGAAATGCGGCCTACTTAGGAAGTGGGTCACTAGAGGCATTCCCTTCAGGGTTAGGTCTTGCCCTGGGCCTTTTGTGTAATCCTGTTTCCTCTGCTTTCCCATTGTGATGTAGTCGGTCTGTTCTGCCTTACCCCTCCTTCCCTGAGAGTCTTTAAATGAATTAAAATATTTATTTATATGAATTAAAATAAATCTTCCCTCGACTTTAAATTGTCCCCTCAGGTATTTTAGTCACAAATATTTGAAAGTCACCAATACAAGTCTTTTCAGTAGCATTTACATAAATAAACTAAATACTGAAGATTACAATCATGAATAGGAATTCATATCCTATCTGTCAATGGCCATAGTGGGACAAAAGACAGAATGAAGGTGAATTCTCTTCTGTGCTTTTTTAGCTGAAGCATCTGTCTTCCTAGAATTTCAGCGTTTCTGGTTTTCAGGGTTTTGAGATAGAACTTAGAACATGATGCCCTTAAGTTTCTATCTCGTACTCTAGTTCTCAATCCTATAGATTTAGACCTGGTCTTACACCGCTGGCTCCTGAGATTTTCCAAGCCATTGAATCTCCCAGGTCTTCAGTCTGCAAAATCTGGTCACTGGACTTCTTGACCTCAATAATGATGTGAGCCTGTTCTCGATATGTGTCTTGTTTCTTTATAGAATGCAAATAATATCTCTTCCTTGCTTATTCCCAGTATCAGTGTTCCTTAGTTTGTATATTGTTTGTACTCACTTTGTAGCCCAGACTGTCCTTGAACTCATGGAAATCCCCCTGCCTCTGCCTTGTGAGTACTGACATTGCCAGTGTGACCTGCCCCGACAAACGCCTCCTGTTTTTTTGTTTTTTTGTTTTTTTGTTTTTTTTGGTTTTTTTCAAGACAGGGTTTCTCTGTGTAGCCCTGGCTGTCCTAGAACTCACTCTGTAGACCAGGCTAGCCTCGAACTCTCGAATTCAGAAATCCGCCTGCCTCTGCCTCCCAAGTGCTAGGGTTAAAGGCGTGCTCCACCACCGCCCAGCGCCTCCATTTCTA